ATGCCAACTCATCATGGTTCTATGGCTCTGCCATGTCCCACTCTGGGGTCTAGGCAGCACCCAACAAAGCCAGAGGAAAAAGCAAAAATCAACAAAACAAAAACCCACTGAGAAAAAACACTTATCATTGGCTAATAGTGCAGCCGTTGTCATCGAAGACTTTCGCTGCTGAGATCCGGAAAGTCTCAAGACTTGTGCGTGCTCCATGGAAAGCAAAACTATCGTCTCTACTAGCTCAAGATCGATTGTCGATTCATTTGATTTGGCAAAGGCATAAATTTGATAATTATTTATAATGCAAATTGTTTGAGTTGTGGCGGCCTTGACAACTGTTTAAAGTAGTTATCGTTATCGAAGTATCGTTTGCTTATTATACTATAAATGCATGAATATAACTTGCACTGTCTCGTATTAAAAGCGAATAGCTGCTATCAATCCACTAAGTACATCCCAAACTGCCAAAACTTTGCTTGCAAAACTAATCGTCTGCAGATCAAAGAATAGTTATCGATAACATATCGATTGCGGTGCAGCCAGTTTTTCTTTTCTAATTTGTGCAATTTCATTTGTTGCCATCATAACTTATTACATAGTTCATTTCTTGTATTGTTATCGAAGATCCTGTCTTTTTGAGAATATGTATACTTATCGAATCTTACTTGCCCTTATCAAATCTCAATAATCGCGAGCATTACATTCTATCGCCTGTGCTGCAGCTGGATTTCACTTTTTATGTCTAGCTAGAGAGCATGACATTGTTATCGATTACATATCGATCGCCAATTCAGTATATACATATATAACTATGTACATATATCAGACCTTCACACATCTTAGCTGTTCTGCCAAGAGCTTTAATTAATGCACAGCTCGTTGGACCTTCAAGTCAGAAACGCAACTAGTGATTGGGGCTGTCCGTACGAAATTGGGGGCTGCAGTAAGTTCCTAGTTTGTTTTGCTTCTGCTATTGCTGCTGCTGTTGCTGCTGCTTCTGTTGCTGCTGCTGATTTCCATATTTGCATGCATACGAATATTCATATTCGCATTAAGGTACATTCGGTGCAGCGATGCATTCAATTGCAAACAGCTGCATACAAATTTGCAATTTTTCATTTTATTGCCAGCGCTCCAATGCCATTCCTGCATTAGGTTCGGGCTTAGATTGGCCTTTAATATGGGGCAACATATTTTTTATATATACACAAATCTTTCTTTTTTACTTTTTGCGTTAGTTTTTTTTTTTTTTTTTTTTTTTTACAGGGGGAGAAATCGAACGGGCAGAAAATGATGTTCCATGATTTTTAGGTGAGGAAAGATTGCGATTCGGCGAGCAGCGACTAGGGCAGTGTTGTTGACTGCACAGCACTGTGTTTAATTAATCGATATACATCGATTGGCAAGATTGCACTCGTAAACAAATTAGTTTTTTGGTAGAGAAGATTTAAATGAAATAGCTATGTATAGATATTAGAATATTGTAGTTTAGCATGTAGGATAAAAGACAAAAATATAGTCGATAGTCTTCGATAAACATAAATTTGCATTTGAATAATTCACATAACTGGCGTTTTATCTATAAATAATACAAAATAAATTGTGATTATTTTAGTAAATTTTGAAAAATGTATTGTATTATAGCATGAACTATATTTATAATTGTTATAAATAATCGACAGCTATCGATAAACAATCATTTTCGAATTTTGTTAATTATGTACTTTTGAAAATATAATACAGACCGATTAATAAGAACGTTGTAGTTTTATATATGATGCAGAAACGATATTTATCGATAACATTTACGTTCAAAATTGCACCTGTTGTTTATTTTCAATGAATTCAAATTGATATGCCTAAAGAGACTCGGGCTATGGAAGCTGCGCTCTTCCCAGTTTTCACTTTATCGAACAAGTCCCATCGCAGCTAAACATTTAAAATATTTATTTATTTATCGTTAATATTGTATCGGTAATCAGTGCGTTTTGTCGCCACATTAAGCATTCATGATTTGATTATAATGTAATTTTATTACTATTATTACTATCACCATTAGCATTATGGTATTTGTTTTACTATCATTGAAACAGAACACCGCATATTGCCTATTTATTATTTGCATATTTGTGAATGTTAAGTGAATTGGCATAATTCCTTTTAATTTCATTGCGCATTTTCTCTTGATAATTAACTTTTCATTAACACACACCAACACATCACGTACGAATGTACTATATTGCATGTACATATGTAGGTTTACGCATTTATCTGGCGATTAACCTGCTAACCGGCTGACCGGCCGCTAGCTGGAGCTGGACTAACTGTTAGCTGGCTGCCAAGCGAACGACAAAATTGTGGTAACAATGGCTCAGTTGTCATGGCCACTAATCGAAATTGCCACGCGGGGGATGAAAATCGGGGCATACAAATGTGGCACGAGCCTATTTGAGCTATGGCCAAATCATCTGGTCAATGGCTGTTTAACAGCCAACCAACGACCATC